ACATTCCTAACTACACTTAAGCGGTTTGTTTCGCAAAAACTTAACGGACCACTCCACTCTCTCTCCCAGGCAACACCTTGGCAACCGAGTATGTACGGATATTGGCTATACTCCGTGTCCACCTTTGCGTCGAGATCGCTAGTGACAATTGTGACGTAATGAGGCCACAAAGAGCAAACAGCTAACTGCATGTTATCGTCGTTGTTGCTGTCTCGCCACAATTTTTCGGGGCTAATAGCAATCACTATTGCCTGTTTGACGTTTTCTACAGAAAAAACACTTCGCTAACTTTTTGGGAACAGAGCACATACCAACGCAAGCAAAACATAACCTACTCTGGCCCGACCATCAAAATTGCCACAATCCTGCATTAAAAGCATTTTTTCCTAGAGGGCTTGCTTCCATGATTGCTTATACGTCGAGTTTGTGGTGGCAGGCCGTAAGACAGGCCAATCTCCTTTTCACTTTCCACCGATAAGCGGTGAACGTTTCAACGTGCAACAAATTTCAATTTGTACTGTTGATCACAGTATTTTTTTACTTGTTGCTATTTAGTAAACTGTTAGCTCGAAGCGTTCACAGTGCTTCTCATATCCACTAGAGCAATAAACTTCTATAGAAAACAGGAGATCAATCCTGCAACTCCTATCGGAAATGGATTAGGTGATACATATGATGAAACTTTTTGAAAAAGCGGTCAATTCCGCAGTAGCCATTCCTTAGATAACTCATCATTGATTATTGATGAGTTTTCAATTGAACAGGATGACTTTTGTGAGGCTGAAAGTGTTTCATTTGTTCACTTCATTTGGAGTGTTTTGTGAAGCAAGATGATTTTCGTGTTACTGATACCAGAAAATACTGTGGAACATCATAGGGTAACTCCAGGAGCAGTGATTTAATGCAGGATAGTATATTGCTGCTAAATGAAACATTGTTCCATTGCAATTCATAACATCAGGTTTACTCACCATAAACGCACTTTTTCATTGCGTCTGTGCACTCATTTGAACAGGTTATAGCTTCATGGTATTCCTGCAATTCCAAAACGGCTTTCAAGGTTTGGGACGTAAAATCGCAATTTTGAGTGGTGCTAAAAGAGGCTCGGTGGAACACCAACAAAGTTTTCTAGAAACGTGAGAATATTCTGATATTCTGGAGTAACTGCCATGAATGATGGAACTTCCATTTTGCCAGTCTTCTATATTTTTCGGTGTTGGTTCCCGATAATACACATGACCTGACCGCCATATCTGATTACCTTATCGGTGCCTTGTAACATGTAAAAAATTTTTCAGAGCCTTCAAACTGAAGATTTATCTGATCCAAACACTACAAACGACAAGGAAAACGCCGACGACGGTGTATCATATT